AACGCGAGTTATGCTCGATTTTTGCCGATTTTTGACACACCACGCCAAAAAGGTTGCCCATCACTGCTCTAGACCTACACCATACATTAATCTTAACCCAATCAAATGAGCAAGCTTCACGCAACATGCCAAGCCACAAAAGACCAGGGTTAAAACTTAGCCTAAACTAAGCACTCGACTTTTAACTTGGCTGAGCAGCCCCAAATCCTCAGCACCAGCATTGCTCTCCCGCCGGTGCTTAAGCTGTGGACAAACTTCCTTCTAGCATAGCAAGGTGACGTGTCCAAAGACATCCTCTCCGCTTGGACTGGCAGAAGCTAATGACTGCTGTTTATTGGAGCCATTTCTTCAGGGGGGAGCTGCAGATATAAATGCACCACTTTGCCACAGGCCTAAGTCTTTACGGGATCTCTCCATATGGGGCCCTAACATAGAAGCAGCCCTGTACCAACACTAAACTGAAGCCCAGTGGACGATATAACCTCCCTGGGAAATGAACGAGCTCTACCTGGGGTGCCAAACCTTAAGACAAGGGCTCTAATCCTTTGCTACTCATAAGGCAAATACAGCCCCTCCCCAATCAGCACCTGCTGGGAAATTCAGTGTTGCTCTGGATGAAACTAACAGAATTATGACTGGATGCTTTAACCCTTCCTCTCTAGGTAAGATCTACCGCCATTGCCCTGTCTGCCGTTCAGAGACAATCAGCCGCACACAAAAACAGACTCAAGACAACGCCCTCTCTACGGCCTACAACCAGCATGGAACCGACGGAGGGGCTGGCAGCAGGTCTGACCAAAGCTGGGAAGTATGGAAATCATTGCACAGGCTGTGCATGGGTACAAGAAGCTCCAGAGATGCTCTGAAGAAATGGGGCTATCCGGTGGCTTGTGGCCTTTGCGATTATGGTGACACGCAGAAGACAACAGCATGACAGAACGCAGTTAATGTCGCTAGTTTCTGGCCAAGATCTGTTTAACTTATACATATTTTAATCTTGCATATTATATTTTGAATTTTATGTCTTATAGCATGCCTTATGTCAATTGTGATGCTTCTGATAGAAACAAACAAACAATGAGCCACTCAGTGAAGTCAGAATGATGGTTGATCTACTGACTCCAAAGCTGGAGGCACCTCTAAAAGTAAACTAGTGATCAACCGCTGACACCATGCATGGCAGAAAGCAGCAGCCCCCCGCCCTGCTCATGCCCCTCCCCAGGCAAGATGGGTCTGGCTATATAAATTATTACATAATACATGAATCTGTATCTGATCTGCAGCAAGCGACGGTTGATGTACATTGTTTATCAAGATCCGAATTCGCTGTTCCTTTCATGAAAGTACAAGCAAGAGGTGTTTTGATCACGCATTCCCTCTCTCCCTGGGATTGTTTCCGTTTCTATATTATTTTCTATGCCTCTTTCTTGCAAACACAAAAACAAATCAAAATTGATACTGCAATGCTAATAGTATTTATGTACACTTATTTCTTGTTACTTGCTTTGATGCAATCAAATAAAACACCTGGGGAGGGAAGCCAAAAACTAGACCTGCACTTCCCCCACCCTCTGCACCTCTGATCGGTCCATTTGATATTGAAGGTGCCACCCTGTGTTTGGGTAAATTGGGTTCCCTGCTCAAGGATCCGAAATAGAAATCCAGCTAAAATGGAAAGAGACGCAAAGGAAGGAGTCATAGTATGAAACCAGGGGCTTTGAAGCCCAAGAAATCCCTGTGGCATCCAGGCACTGTGCCATCATACACCCAGACCTCCAAGGAATTACCAGCCCATTTTTGCCACCCACTTAGCTCTTAATAGCTGTTTAGATATTATTTAAAGCACATCCTCCTTTTCAATCTGTTCTTTTCGGAGTGCTTAGACAATGGATCCTCCTGGGTGGGTTGAGATTTCACAAACCTCCCTTTGTCTCCCTTGGAGTGGATGACAAGGCTGGAGAAGTAGACTGGGGCCATCTTTGTTGTTGTGGCTGTACAGTCTTGTGTCTGATTCCTTGCAAGCCCATGGACCACAGAAGGCCAGGCCCCCACTGCCCCCCACTGTCTCCCGGGCATAACCAATCATGACTTTGCAAAGGGGTCCTGAGGTCTGGGAATTCTGGGAACAAAATGGAGCAATCTGCTGCAGGGCCCAAAGGCAATCAAGGACACAGATGAACGGCCTTTGCCAGCATCCCCTGTTCTGACCCCAAACCTCTAACAGGAGGAGCCCCTTAATCTGGTTCTCCCAAATCTTGTTCAGCAGGAGATCGGCTCTCAAGTCTTTCCACTAGGTACGTCTGGACCCGCAAGTAAGCACTCAGCCTCCAGCAGGGCAGGTGGTCCTCAGCCTACAACCATCCTTCTAGCACTCATTTGATGTTCACGGGTTATGGAAAACAGTGATCTACAATCAGTCCTCGCACTTATGACTATTGCAGTATCCCCATGGTAACGTGATCCCCATTTATGATCTTTCCAGCCAGCTTCCAATACGCAAAGTCAATAGTGGAAGCCTGATTCACTTAACAGTGGGTTGTAAAATTGGGTGCAACTCACTTACTTGCTTAGCAATGGAAATGCTAGTCCCAATTGTGGTTGTAAGTGAAGGACTCACTATATAAGGTAGACTGCTTCTGAACACAAAGCCAGGAAAAGCAGCTCCACAGTCCTGTTCATGCATACACTTGCAAGGCTAGCAATTAAGACAACTTAAATGTCTTTGAGGATTGGAGCATCAATTGTAAAGTCCAGAAATCATGTACTTCTTGGGCTGCATCTGTTTGTGGACCTTTCCCCAAAAAAACCCAAGTTAGATTTAGATTGCAGCCACCAACAAGAACTGTTTAAAACTATGGCACAAGTCCCTGCCAGTCTGAACCCCAGGAAGGTCGTCTCCCACAAGGCTGCCAAGTGCTGATTTGGCTTCCACTTGGTTTCCACCACTCTCTTCTTCCCTCTCCACAATCTGGTTCGCCTTTTACAAAATCAATGTTGATGGAGTCTCCCTTCCGAAACATCCTTGCAGAAGCATCCTTGCTCATTTCTCCTTCTTCTTAGGATAAACAGCCTGGAGCCAAGCAGGCAAGCAAGCCTCCCCCACCCCACCCTCGCCCTCCTTCTGTCTCTGGAAGCCAAGGCAATTTGGGAATCAGAGGGACCCTCATCCTTCTCAGAAGACAAAACAGCACTATTTTGGGTATGAATTTAACTTTATAATGTATTATTCAGCCTCCTCCAACCTGGAACCCTTCAGATGGATTGGACTAGAATTCACATCACCCATAGGCATTTGGTACAAACCACAATCATCTGAAAATGGCAAAACATGCATCACAAGGCCACCTTTGGTGCTTAATATCCTGCTTGGGCACAAGTAGATACGTGTGTTTTGTGTGGCAATGTCACACTGCACACCATAGCCTACCTCCCTGCCTGCCCCAGTTGGGGGCGGGGGGTGGGTGGGATGATGGAGTTGTGACCTCCAGCCATGGGAGTTTAGCACAGGCATCAATCCTTGAAAGATGGCAATCAGATAGCAAAAGGTTTTTGTACTCTCTCTTACTGCAAGTTCTTAGAAAGCAGGAAGACCCCTTTCCCACCTAGGGAATCAAATCCCACGGCCTGGGCAGCACCCTGGTCACCACTGCAACCCACTCTTCAGTGTCAACCTTTGGAGAAGAGCCAACTGGTCTTCAGCTATTCCAGCACCTGGTGGAAATTCCGCTAGGATCAGCTCCTTCCTGGCTAATTTTGAAGTCCACGCAGGGGGTTCCTCTCAGGCCCAACTCAGAATTCCAATTACCATAACACCAAAGACCATCTGGCACTGCCTTGAGGTACAGTGGACTCACTGTACCCATCCTTCTGTTATTTTGGGAAGATCTTTCAAGGGCCACTTGTAAAATTCACCGGACTTGGATCTTATGCAATGTGCTCCCTGAGCTGCCCAAACAACAGGACCCCCTTCTCATACTCCAGAAGGTTTTTATTCATCAGGCATCCACCTCTATGCAAATGCTGGGGGGAGGGGCATGCTTGTTTTACCTAGTGGGCGGGATATGACATTTTTTGTTTTTCATAGTCATGTACAATCTCAGAATTACATGATTGGGGCAGTTAATGAACATGTTAAATAAAGCAATTTCTTCCTTCACACTTTCCTTCTTTCAATACATAAATGCATGGAGCTGTATTTAGCTAATTATGGGATGAAAAACCAAATTAACCACGACTTCTTTCAGGATGATGTGGCACCGACTGCTGAAACAACTTATCAAGTGGACGGAGCTGCTGAGCTTGGAAGTGGGGGAGGGTTTCTACGAGGTTGGATGTCTAAAATAATATCTCGTATCTTAAAAGTAAACCCGACACAGAATTTCACTGAGTTTGCAAAACATTTCCCGGTAAGTTTCATACATGGATTTATATCACCTCCAAAATGTAGATTTCTCTTTATGTACATTTTAATGTTATATAAATATGTACATAAGTATGTTCTATGTTCTACATTTTTATATTTCAAATTTAGAAGATTTTAAAAATCAGGAGTGACTTCTGGTAGTATGAATAGAACGCATGGCAGTTTATAATTATAGTTTACAATCTTTTTATTTTTTTAATAAATATTGTTACAATCCATTAATGAAATTCTGAAAAACTAAAAAGAATTATGATTAACAAGGCTACAACCTTCCAGGAAGCTTCATCAGTTCTATACTCCTACCAAGATGAGTACAGATGACCTTGAAAAGCTCAGGCCACCAAAAATCCCCAGACTGCAAAGTTAAAAAACATCCCACAGGGCAGCAATGGGAAACCACTGTGGCTGTCATTAAATCTATAGTTGCAAAACAAACTATGTTTATGTATCCACAAAATCCCCGGGAACCCAGCTTAATTGGAAAGAGATTTTACATCTACCGATTCTCAGTTTCCGACCATGGAAACCTAAAGGTGCGTGGACTTCATCTCCCAGAGTTCCTCAGGTAGCAAAGACGGCAAGGGACCCCTGGGAATTGAAGTCCGCACTTCTTTAGGTCGCGAAGGTCGACAAACGCAGCCCGGTCAGCTTCCCCCGGTCCAGAGCCCCCCGGGATGCCGGCTGGGCTGCAGCTTCTCTTGCCCAGACGGACTTCGGGACTGGCCAAATCCCTCCTGGCCTTTGAGCGCTTCCAGTTCACGGATCGCCACGGAACGAGGAAGATGCTGGGCAGCCCCGGACCCGCCGGAGCTTCCACCTTCGGGCTGCGCTTCCGGAGGTCGGCACCCGCCTCCAGACCCCTCTCCCCCAAGCTTCAAGGCGCCAACCCAGCCAGGCTCCCTTCTCACGGCAGCCTCCGGCTCACTTCCGTGGCTCGAAGCGGAGCGCCGGAGCCACGCGGGCCGTCCAGGCCTTCGCCGCCCTCCCGGACGAAGTAGGAGAAAGGCATCCACTCTTCTCCACCCCCCAGTAGGAAAAACGCCCGAATCATCCTGGGCTCCAGCAAGCGGGGAGGAGCAGTCGGGGGGGGGGGAGAAAGTCCCCTCGCTGAGGCCACCCTCCTCGCCGAGCAACAAGGGGGTGGCGAGCAGTGAGGCTGGCTGGGCTGGGCGGCACAAGGCGAGGGCAGCTGGGGCGGGGGCGCTCTGGGCAGGGAGAAGGGCCAGGAGGGGACAAAGGCTCCCGGGCGTCTCTGCTGGCTTCGATCCCCTTCGGGGGGGGCGAGATCCCGGAACCCCAAGTGCGCCGCAGACCTTCCCCCCGCGCGGCGCCAGCGCTGCGCCCGATCCCCTCACGCGCAGCCTCCCTCCATTGCCCAGCCTGCTGCTCCCCCGGACAGCGGTGGGGCGGGGAGCGGTGGCGGCAGAGGCTCACCCTTCTTCTTGAAGAGCGCCAGCAGCGAAGGGAGGTTCCTCCCCAGCAAGACCACCATCCCGCCGCTCCGGCCGGCGGGAGCGCAAGGCGGCTGCTGGACTCGCGTCCTTCTCCTCGTGCCGCCGCCCTCCCTCCCTCCCGGAGCAGGAGGAGGGGCCAGCCGCATGGGTTGGGGGGGTCTCCGTGCTCGAGGTCAGCGCCGGGGCAACGAGGGGAGGGACTTCGCGCGCAGCCCCCCCCCCCCATCCCTGCCGCCCGCGGAGCTCTCCGGCTAAGCTGAAATCCTCCACTTGCCCCGGCTGAGCGGCGAGGACGGGCGACGGAGGCGCGGTTGTATAGCAGGGTGTCCCCCGCTCCGGCCGGTCGCTTTGGCCCAACCTGCTAATCCTGGGTAGGCTTCTATTTACTCTGGGAAATGGTTCTTTGGAGGAATCCGGCTAATCGTATTGGGGAAGACGGCGACCACAACAGGTCCGTGTTAATGAAGAGAGCCGCTTGATTAGGATAAAGGCCGATATTGTGCCATGAGCTGCTGCCCACCAGCCGGTTCCTGACCTACCCATTGAACGGTCTGGGACCTCCAGGCAGGCGTCATTAGGTAGCCCAGTTGGCACAACATTCTGAACCTACTAAGAACTACTGTATTCCTATGAAGACCTGGTCCCAATCCAGATGGTCCTCGACATACAAGTGCTCCTCCACCTGGAGTTCAAAATTACTGTGGTGGCACTGAAAAAAGTGACAAGACCAGGCCTCCTGCATGTATGACTCTTGCAGCATCCCTGGGGTCATGTGGTCAAAACTTGGATGCTTGGCAACTGGCATGTATTTGTTTATCTATGTCCCGACTTTATTGTTTCTGAGAAAGATATTTCATTTGTACATATTTAAATTTTAAATTTGATGTTATATAGTATGCCTCATTTTAATTGTGATGCTTCTGAGACAAATAAACAAATCTTTATTATAATTGAAGGCCATTTTTGACTTTCCTAACTGGCTTCTGACCAGCCAGGTGAATGGGTGGAGCTGGATTGGCTTAAGAATCAATTGTTCACTTAACAACTGTAGTGATTCACTTAAAAACCATGGCAATAAAGATTATGAAAACCAAGCAAACTTTCAACAACTACTTTGCTTAGAAACAAAAATTCTATGAATCCAGCCAAAGACGCAGTCTGAGATTGATCTCCGGGGAAGATGGCTACCCCAAATGGATCATTGATCTTATGTGGGGTTTTCCAGGACATTTGAGGTGTTATCTAACCTTGAGGTAGGGGAGGGCCATGGTGAGCAGCACCAGTGTGTAGCTCTGGCAGGACAGTCCTCTGGCTGGATTGGATAAAACTGGCAACATTGGAAATGGCTTTTCTCCCCCCCCCCACCTCTGATTTGAGTCAAATCTGCCTGCAACAAAAGGGAGACGGGGGGGGGGGGAATGGATGTGGTTTGTGGGAGCCACCTCTGGACAGCAGAGTCTGCAACACCAATGGCCAGGGGAGGGGCCAGATGGTGCTCCTCCTTCTCCTTAATGCTAGCCTGGCAGAATATAGCAGCAAAGTGTTTAGTTGATTTATATCTTTCATTCAGGGCTACCAAACCTTATAAATAGGATTCCCTATTTGGTTCAGTCCCCACCACAAGACCTCTGCAAGGTAGGCTGGGCTGAGGGAGAAGGACTGGCCCAAGGGAGCAGCTTCTGTGCTGTATAAACTAGAACTGGCTCTCCCTACTCTGAGATTCTGTGCCAATCAGGCAGTTCCCCTACAGCCTATTGTGATTCAGATCACAGTTCCGTCAATGAGCAGCCAGGCTCCCCCAATTCCTGTCCTATCCTGACGTCCATGCCCCCCACAGTCCACATACCCCATAGCAGGCCCTGGGATTACGTGGACCTTCACTCCCAAGCAGGGTCCCTCCACCACCACCCAGGCAGGACCAGCCTTGAGACAAGGCCCAGAGAAGAGAGCTTGGGGGTTGAGGGGGGAGGAAAGTGAGGGTTTAAAGTGCACAGCTGAAGCTGCCATGATGCCTTCTTTGACTCCCCCTGCAGATACACTTTAAGAAATGTGGACCAGCTCCCAGCATTCCCCAGCTGGCATCTTAAGAGTAGCCCGGGTTAAAAATCATTATTCTAGTGGCTTCCTGCACAATCAAAAACCTCCCATGTCTGGACATGGGATCTTCTGCATATGTACAGAATATAAGTCTTTCAGTAAATGGGCCTCCTTTCATCAGCAATTAAGAACTGGAATGCTCAATGGCTATGGAGAGTCTCAATCATCCAGTTCATGGTTGTCCCAAAGGTGCTTTTTCCAAATGGAAGCTGGATTTTCTTGCTTTTGTCCTTGAAAATGTTTCCTTCTCATCTGAGAAGCTTGCTCAGTTCTGACTGACTGTCAGGGAATGGAATGATTCAAGTGAGTCTGAGGATAGGATAAAGGCCCAAATAACCCTCAGAGTATTCACAGGTGTAAATTTTTCCATTCTCTGACAGTCAGTCAGAACTGAAGAAGCTTTTTGGATGAGAAACAAAACACCAAGAAAGTCCAGTTGCCTTTGGGGGGGGGGGGAAGTGTCACCTGAAATGCCCCCCCCCCGCAAAATGCACAGCAGCCCTCCTCCTCTTGTCCCATTCATTGCCCTCCATCTGAATATTCATCAGGCTCTTAGAAAGAGGGGCACCAGGTAGGTCAGCCACGCCATTTGGCAGGTGGCAGAAGGGCTCCAGCCCTCCTCTGGCCTTTTCTGTGGCAGCCTCCAACCCACAGAGGACTCTGCTTCCTGAAGCCTGGCAGGCCTCAACCCTCCCAGCCTTCCATAAAGCTTTTGATTTCTCCACAAAGTGCTGGGATGACCAACTGAGTGACGGTGCCAGGTTTTTGTGGTTTTTAATGTGCTTAATTTTATAGCTTTGTCATGATTTTTATGTTGTTTTTAATTTTTTGATTGGGGATTGCCTAGGATTGGTTGCAAGACTATGTTATAAATAAATAAATAAACTCCAAGAATTTGCCAGCCCTTCAGGTCTGCTTCTGAGAAGCCAAAGAATTGCAATCCAAAACACCTGCAGGTGCAAGGATGTGGAAGGCTGCTCTTTAAAAGTCTCCAGAATTGTGGCAACAACATGCACCAGCGCCAGCCACGTGCTTCTCCCGGGAAGCGTGGTTGCCATGCCGCCTCCTTTACCCACAAGTGCCATCTGAAGGGAAAGCAGTCAGGCCAAGCACATGCCACTGGCCAAACTCTCATACCCTTCGCCAATTCCAGGGCGTCACAAAACTCTCCTGGCTTGGAACCACAGCAGGGTCTGAGCTACCAAGAAAAATGAAACGTCCCTACAGCAAATCCAGGACAGGTGACTCAGGTGAGGGGACGCCAGGCCCAATGTCAGACAAGGAATGTTTGGGCCAGGAAGGGAAAGGCAATCTGCACGTAGTATCAATCTTCCTCCCTCTCCTCTCCAAAGCTGCTAAAGAAAAGGAGCCACACACTCCTTGGGTTCATGGCTGGGCAGGGGGCTCCAGCTCTCTCTCTCTCTCTCTCTCTCTCTTATGATCCAACCTACCTTACCTTGCAGGGGTGTGGGAATAAAAAGGGGAGGAACACCATATAAGGGGCTGATTAGCACCCTAAAAGCCCTCTTCCTGCCTGTTAATTAACTTAATTAATGTTTTTGATTAATTAATGTTAATTAATTAACATTGATTTTTAAGCACCCTTGCCGCTTCTTAAATTTTCTAGCTGTTCTTATGTTTTAATATTTTTATTGGTTCCCTGCCCAGAGGGAAATGGGCAGTTTCAAAATGTGATAAATTAGATCAGAGATAGATGGAGGGAGAGAGGGAGGGAGGGATGGATGGATGGATGGATGGAAGATAGATAGATGGATGGATGGGAAGATAGCTAGGAAGATAGATAGATGGATGGAAGCTAGATAGGAATATAGATAGATTGATGGAAGATAGATAGATGGAAAATATGAAGATAGATGGATGGAAGATAGATAGATAGGAAGATGGATGGATGGAAGGGTGGATGGATGAGATAGATGATAGATAGATAGATAGATAGATAGATAGATAGATAGATAGATAGATAGATAGATAGATAGATAGATAGATAGATAGATAGATA